TTGTGGGTCCCTTGCAATTCAAGATATTCTCTGATTCTGTTTTCTAGATCACTCGTCATTCTTACTGCTCTCTTTCAGCTTCATCCAAGTGCAGTGCCCTAAACTGAACAATCCTCCACCAGCTGAAGCCTTACTGCTGCTGAAGGAGTAGAGGGTTCCTTTCCATATGACAATTCCTATTCCAGTAGCTTGGAAGTAAACTAAAGACTCAGAAATTTTCTTTTACCCTACCAGGTACACTCTGGAATCACCACAGAGGCAGCTATGCCAAGCTCCCCTAAAATTCTCACTGAAAAGGAAGACAAATTTTCAAGCCTTCTCCATGCCACCTCCATCCATCACATCTCACTTTGTATAACACCCAGGCTCACAACACCAGGCTCAATCTACCCCCTCTGCTATCTGTCTTACTAAGAGCCTTCAAGAGGACACAAAGACAGAGCACAAGTATACTCAACCGCCAAAGAGGCCTCAAATCAATAATGCACTTAGACATACGCAAAATTCCAGTCTTCTTACTTAATATTGAACCAAGAAAATTTAAAAAATTAGACAAATTAGGAACACCTTTAAGTGTCATGCTGAATCAGAGAAGGGAGTACATTTTGAATAACCAGTTTTAAAGGCATAAGTCTTATCCATTGATACTCTGTAGTACAAATTCACAGATTTTACCAGGTATCTGAGAACAGACTCTGATTTACTACACATGAGATGGGTAAAGTGTTTGGCACTAACAGGAAGGATGATCAGTTATGCCATAATCCCTCCTAAAGGTAAGAGAGAATGAAAATTGATAGTATGCCTCAACTTGTGAAAGACACAAAGAAGGAAAAATCAATTTATCAATAAGATCATGGAGAAAAAATGATCAAAGAGTAAAAAACATCTGGACCAGTGAGCTAATTGCTTATTAAAAAATCCTAGGCTGGTGTTTCATACATGAGAGGGGATAACATATTTCATGACTGGTTTCAAATGAAGGATAAAGAAAACCTATTGCATGAGACCAAATATTAGTCTTGCATCTACTGTGCAGAATTTAGAGCCATTTTGAGAAAGAACTGCTGCTATTTCAAGTGATTACAGTGCTAAAATAAATTATTTTCAGCCAGAGAAGGATCTCATCATAGTTTGAATTCCCTGTGGTGTCATTTCATGTTATATTTGAGAAATTCCTCAATAAAAATGTCAAATAGAGAGCAAGTTGAGTTCCCCTGAGGATAGTTTTGGATATTTTCCAGTACAAATTTTAACCATGAATTCTTAACCAAACACCTCCTCCCAACAAATAAATAAATAAGAAATTTCGCTTGATTAGAAAGAAAGAAATGTTGAAAGAACTCAGGAAAAAACAGTTGACTTGTCAACTGCATCCGATCTAATTAGTTGTGAATACTCCAAGTTTGCTATTTATAAAGAAGATTTTAATCATCTTGCTATACTGACGTTACTAGAAAGAAATCCAGTGAAGGTTTAAAAAGGAATGTAAACCCTGACAAGAAGAGATGGCTTAAGATGCTTCAGTTAAGCAAGAGATGCAGAAATCCTGATGTAACAGTCTTGTCCATTACAATCTGTTTCCTAGATGGCTTACAGGACTGTCAGTGCACTATCATGGAGTTCCAGCCCTAGGCCTTCCATCTAAAATCACTAGGCAATATTTCAGGTGAGGTGTGTGTGATAAAATGCACCCCAAGTCACTGAGAGAGCAATTCAGCTGTCTAAACATCAGAGTCAGATGCCATTTTAGATTCCTAACATTATTCCATCTAGCCTCCATCTCACACTCCAGATCTACTCCTGTAGGTCTCTGGACTCGATGATCCTTATGAGTCCCTTCCAATTTGAGATATTCTATGATCTCAAGTTACATCTGCCAGCTCCAGGGTGTACTCACTGTCATAAGGCTCCTATGTTTAGGCAGTTAAATCAGCCCCTAAGAGCTGTTGCGGCCTGGCTCCCTATGTGCTGACAAAATGGACCCCAACAGTAATGCCCGAAGGCCAAAGGATGGGGAGAAGTAGAAATAGTGTAGTCTGATGCTGGGACACTCCTAGAAAATCCTCTGTCCAAGCATATAGACATCCATGGTGCTGTATGAGAAAACGGTTCAGGTGGGGTTTTCAAAATCAACCTACCATGAGTTTTATAGGCTTATCTACAAATTCCATGGAAATGACACAATTCTATACAAGACCCACTACAACCCTACTTAATGTGAATATAGACTTAATTTCAGCATGCTAATCACATATTACATGCCTTTTCTAAGAGGAACATAAACTTGATACGTAGAATATGTGATGATACCTAACTAGCAATCTTCATTTTGACAGTTCTGAAAATCCTATAGAGATTGGAGAGGGAGGGTGGAGAAAAAAAAAAAAAAAAAGCAAGAAAAAAAAAATCTTTGGAATAATTCACCAAGTTTTACATGCTGGGAAAAATTCCCAAAGGGTTATAGAAATCTTAATTTAAACATGTGCAAATACAAGGTTTGGTTTTGATTTGAGACCTCACTGCATCCTCTTAAAAACAGCCAACTGCATTTACTCATTTCTGGTAGTGTAAGTGAAGGGAAATACAACTAGTCCAGAAGGAAAAAGACTAGAATGTCTCCCTTTTCAAAATTGATACTGTGCTAATGGACACAAACAGGCTATCCCAGCAGTCAGTATAACTGATAACACCAGCAACTAGCTAGGGACAAAATGATGACAGAATAATTAAGTTTTTGCTTTCCTAGCAATGGTGCCCCAAAATTGAGTTAGCACACAACAGGCAGTCGTAGCAAGATTTGCATGGCCACTATTGGGATTAAAAACTTGTTTTAGACCTTAGAACCAGGCACTTTCATCCTCAGTAAAGCCAGTCAAACTTTAAAGAAGGGAGAAAGAGGAATGTGCCTTGATTCCGTTTTCAGTGCCTCTAAGTAAAAGCAGCTGTTCTACTGAGACATATCAAAGACCATTCATTAATTGCAAATATTCAATCTGCATTTGAGGAACAGAAACTTCCCCAGTCTGTGGCCTCAAAATTAGAAAGGCAATTGTGACCTCTTTTAGTGTCCTAAAGTTGCACACTGGGAGAAAGGGAGCCCTTTGCTATTATTCACGCTCATCTGTTCACTGAACCTCTTTTAGAAACAACATGGTTCCTAAAATTTTTGGGATAACCCAAAAAGTCAGATCAGAGTAGACCATGAATATGGGCAGATACCGATTCTAAAAAACCTGAAAGATCTCTTGTCAAGCTTTGGATCAATACTTTAAACCGTAGACACATGTTTCTATTATTGTAGGCCTTATTTTTTTTTTTTTCCTCACCCCAAAAACCCCAAGTGGCTGAATAGAAATTAATAAAAAGAAAATTAGAAATTTGGCTATCTCTGTAGATCCAGTCTGTATGTTTCATGACCAGAGAGCAACAACACAGACAGTGGGGGTTCAAAGAAATCCCACAGACCTTCTGAACGGTTCATCCCTTATCAGGTCACTCCTTTAGCTGTTTACACACTTGCTAACCTACTTTTCTCTACTACTATGGGAATCATTTGAAAACAAAGTTGAAAATAGCAAGCTGTTTGAAGCAATGTACGTGCACAGTTACTTGAATTCCAAATAGTTGAACTATTTGACTATGTTTGTGTCCTGTTTTATTAAGAGATATTTACAAACTTTAGTATAGATAGATTTTTTCTTTCTTTTTAAAATGAATGGCTGGCTGCTCTTTGTACAAGAAATATCTCTTGCATAATTAATCATTTGACCACCTCAGGTTGAGGCAAATAAATCTATTTAGTGTGTTCTATAACAAATGAAATTTGGAAGTTTAAGTCAAAAGCCTGTCAATGGCCAGGATATATAATCCATATGAATAAATATTACTCAGTTTGCAGATGAATGCAGTAGGAAATACATCTGCTGAAAAGCAAGCCAAATCCTTGCTCAGAAATTCTAGTTGTTCCATAGCTTCAATGAGTGCAGACTGGTGTTACTAGACTTTATTGTTTCTGGTTCACTACCTGATTTCTTAATTTTTATTGCAAAGAATCTCAGTTTTTACAAGAGTGAAGGTGCTGCATGACACGCACAAAAATATCCCTTTTTCACACTGTTTTATAAACATCACCTTTAAATTAATTTGGGACTGTACCAAACACTGGTCATGGCATTTATATCAGGAATATTGAGAAAGATAGTCCCTAGGCACTAGAATTTAGCTAAAATGACTACCAAGTAAGCAGTTATTGGAAACTAAACTTAGCAGTCAAAGTTCATTTCCAGGTAATTGGTGTGAAGAAATTTCAAAACAAACATATTCATTTTTAGCTTATAGGATAAACCCAACCTATTTAAACCAGAGCAATGGACAAGAATAATAAAAAAAAAAAAACAGATCCCCAAATCCTTAGATTGTTGAAGCAATTAAGATCCTGCTCTTTGTACAGTTAGTGGACTGTGTCCGTCCCCTTTGTAAACAGCTACTACCGATAACTGTTTCTTCTGCCCTGTTTTATTGTTCAAGTATTCCTTCATCACACTTACACTTTTAACATTCTGTAACTTAAGTTCATACAGCATATCCTAGAACTGTTACCCTAAGAGGGAAAAAGTGGGAGGGGAAGCTCTAAATATATAACTGGAATTAGAGAAGTTGGAAAAAACAGACAGAATATATTTAAGTGGATGGAACAGATTACTTTTCTTAAAAAAGAAGCCCAAACATCCAGCACAGGCTTTGGAGGTCAGGGTTTTTTTTAGTAATGTTAAAGATGGGCAAACTGATTTGAGTATGTTAGAATTAAGAGTACCAACTGCCAACTTTAAGGATCTGGCCTACACCACACTGGAGTCAACAGACAGGTTTGAACTTATTCAGTGTGATCTGGATCAAGTCTTTACTGAAAACATAACAGATGACAAAATCAGCAAGCAGATCAGGCCTCCTTACCACAGCCATGAAACAAAAGCTTCTTGCCAGAATGTACTACTTACCAAGACAGTTGTGGCCATCATGCGCTAACATGAACCCATCATAGCATGTACACCTGTAGTTGCCCGGAATGTTGATACACTCATGGACACAACCCCCATTGTAGAAGTCATTTTCACACTCATCGATATCTAAAGGCAAGAGGAGGAAAAAGAAACTTTTGTAAAAAAGAAAATACTAAGACTACAGAAAAATTTCTGCAACCAAGCACAGTTTTTGAATATATGCATGTTCCTAATCTTTCTATATTCTCATATTGCATTATTTCATCCAACAGATGGCTCAGGGAAAATACTGACTGAATATATCAGGGTCATATATGACTGAACAGCAGCAAGCCAATGTATAGAACACTCATCCTCAAAATAATTGTAGTATCATCACAGTAAACAATGGCATGTTGTCAAAAATTAAAAAGAAACATCTGGTTTCGATACTTTTTTTATATTTAAAATGCAAGTTTTGGGTTTTGTCTTTAAAATAATCAAACAGGCAATGAGTTAAACCTTTGACTTTGGTTTAACAAACAGCTATCTGAAACATGCTATTAATGTGGCATAAGACAATAGAAAAGTATGCCTTGTTTAACAAAAAATTGTCGTCTCAGAACAAGGAAGATCTGGTATATTCCTGACAATAGATAAGGCTGTAGTCCTGCACAATAAACCTTGAAAAACACCATTTCTGAAATAGCTGTCACTGTCCACTGAACTTTATTAAATTACTATTGATAACTTAGTACAGTTTGTCTGTTCCTTCTACCTCCTCCACAAAATAAACTCTACCACAATTTTCTGTATTAATTCATGTACAGCAACAACAAAAAGACCCAATATTTTATTATTAGAAGGTACATTATAATTATTTTTATTTATTTATTTTTGTACACTGGCCTGTATCTGAAAGAGTATCATGAATGGTAAAAGAGAGATTCATTCTGCTTCAACTACAAACAATCTTGTTATGATCTTCCCTCCCTCATACAAAAAAATCAAAAAAATCACTCATTCTAGAAATTGCAAACTTTCTTCTTTTTACAGATTGTATCTTGGCTTTTATATGTCTCTTCAGCATCACACTTACTGCAGTGAATCATTCAGTGGTGCACATCAACCAACTAAAAATACTCAAATAATTACAGACAGTCTCATTGCTTGATAACGATCAGCTCTAAATCTGCGGTGCGCTAGGCCAAAAACCCCAGCTACTGCCCCTAAATTACACAGTGAATGATAAATGCATAAAGTAATCTTGTTAGAAAATTAGCTGTTACTACATCAGAGCTATCCTGGCTGTACATTTCAAACATGCCTTCCATTGCAGAAGTGGTTGAAATATTTCTGATTTAGGTTCATGTCCATGCAGCCTTCTCCCCACCCCCTTTTATTTGCTTTTTAACTTTTAAAAGTACTCCAGGAGAAACTTTGCTACGTGGTATCATACCCAGCCGCAATCCCAAAACAGCAAGGGAGTTTGGTAAAACCAGATTCTTCTGATAATCCAGCTCAGACTCAGTCACTCAATGCTTTCAGCATTTCTGGCCCTTGGATTGAGCCTGGCTAGGCTTGCACCTCCTTGCACAATCCTCTGATAAGTTTGATCTGTCAGAGCAAGGACAGGCTTCTCTCAAGTTTTTTTGCAAGCCTTCCCCCTCAAGTCGGCCCCTCTCAGAAATGTACCTTAAACTCAGAATAACCCATTCACTTCCCTCCAACAGCTCTGAAGCCCCTCTTCTACCATCTCCTCAGCAGCTCGAAATGGGAATTACAAATTTGGCTGTACCTGCAATACCAGTCAGCTTTTTTGTAACTCAGCATTCAGCACCACAAAAATGCTGAAAATAAGCAGCTGGAGAAAGGATCTTCCTAACAAAAATATGACCTACTGCTTAAAGGTAAACTTCCTGGTCTTTCAATCATTGCTGTTTCAGAAAATTCCCATCCTTTACTAGTGATTTCCATCCATTAGTTGGACAACTGCTGAGTCAGCACAGCCTGTGGATGTGCTCTACCTCTCTACCTTCTGGAGTCCAGTATGACAACAAAAAGATACATCTGTGATTTTTCCTGAAAACAATAACCAGCAAGTCAATTACTGCATATTGGGCTCATTCCGAATACACCTGCAACATGGCAGTGTAAAGTCCCCAAAAGCTGCTCTCCTTTATTTAGAGCCCGATGTGCCTGGATGCATATTACCAAAGCGATCCAGTGAGGTTTCCACTTAGCAGACATTTGCAGCTTCCAGAACCATTCATGAATATTTCCAGAAACTTCCTATCATTCTCAAGCTACAAGGATGAATAGAGCTCTACAGTAATGCCAAGTTTTGACGGGCTAAGTCAATAATCAAAAAGCATGTAACAATATTTTGATGTCAGTCCTGTCAGGCATTCCTTCAGGACACTCAGGAAAAATGATAACTTCATTTTAAGATTTGTTCTTAACTTTTATCCAGCACCGAGTTTCTTCAGAGAGAGAATTCAGAAGAAAGTGTTATCAGTTGTTATGTTACTCAGCATCAGGTTGACCAAGGCTGATCAATTAATTCCCTTTTTTCAATCAATGAATCAAATATGACTATTTGTTTAAATAAGCAATGGGAGAGCCTTCAAAAAGGCCAAAAATCAAAGAAATGTGAAGACTTTTAACTGTCTATCCCTTATATAATACTTAGTTCTAAAAAGCTGTACTGTGACTAGCAGCACAAGGTGCTGATGCAATACAAATACTTCAGCTCCAGAAACGGCAATCTAACAGATACATAAAAAGGAACAGATTCTTTTCATCTCTCTCAAGAAGTTCCAGTTACATTAAATTTTGCAAAAGGATTAGATGATTACTTCACCCTTTTGTATCCCAACAGCTGTACAAAACTAGAATTGGAGCAAAACATCCTACCTACTTTTAAGAGCCATGTTGTGGTTTTTTTGGTGTTTCTTTCCCCTCCAAAACCACATTGCTATTTATGAGACTTCACCTGGCAGGCTGACTGGAACTTCTATCTCCAGTATTGCTAGTAAAACATCCAGGGGATAAGACTCATGAATTTAACACTTTGTTTTTTAAAACAAAAACAAACAAAAAAAAACACCAAAAGCATGTACAAAGTCTGCAGATTCCAAATGTTGAACTTTTTTCAAGCTCCAGCTGTACCAAGAGATAAGCAGACAACATGCCTACACGTACGAACACCATCCCATCTTCTCATATACCTGGAGGAGGTCATTGTTTAAAGAATGCCTCAGTGAAAGTGCTGAACAACTGTAATTTATGGGCAGAATATTACATCTGACATGGCAGGATATGACTTCCTTAGTAAGCTTAATATAGCAATAAAAGCAATAGGAGTACATTCAAACACTGAAAAACTGCAGACTTGCTCTTATCTATTGTAAAACTCAAAATTTACAAGGGCTGGTGATGTTAATTTCCTTTTAGTTAGGTCATATACTATTATTCTTTTCTTCCTGTAATTGATAGAATGGGGTGTTAATCAAACTCTTGACTCCGAACATCTCTAACTCAGAAAGTTAACTCTTCCCGCTAATTTTGTAGCTTCACCTATTCTTAGCATTCTTAGCATTTGATCACTTAATACTGTCTTTGACCATGAAGGAATTACCATAACACAAAAACAAAACAAGAGAAACAGAGAAATGTTGCCACCTGACCATGAAATTGCTCTGCTGGATGCAGGTGCATATACTATTGAACTAGCAAGGATAACTGCAATCTAGCTCTCAATGGGAAACCTTAAGTTTTATCTACAGTGGCAAAATATCTACAAAGTTTTCACTCCAGTAAATTCTGGCTGTGCAGACAGGCAAATCTGGAGGTGTTTAGTGAAGAAAACACCTTTAAAAAGTATTGCAATTTTTTCTCTAAAAGGAATTAATTTCATGTGGTATTACAATGGCAGCAATTACAGGAGCCCTGGAAAAAAATTAAATGCATCAAAATTATTAGAGAAGGCATAGGGCCATTTATAATAATGACATAGTCTGCCAAGAACCTATTTGTGCTTACTGTGTTCAAATGAGACAGCATCCCAGTGCCAGAGCTGGATGTATGTAACCACATCCTCAGCTGTTGGTGTGGTAATTTTGACCATCTTTTTCTGGAACTGGTTTGGGAAGTCTCCAAAACCCACTGCTTGTTTCAAAAGTTCTAAAGGAAAAAAATATCAGGAAAAAAAGAGATAAAAAGAACCTTGCTTACTTGGGTGTACTTGTAGCTGTACTGGTTCAGCTATTTGCCAAGTAGAAAAAAGCTTGGAAACTACATCATAATTCCTTCTGGAAAGCAGAGGTGAATCTTTTTGTTACAGCCTGGAAATAACTCTCAGCAGCCCTAGGGAACACAGCACTGCCATGCTCTGCTGTTGTCATCCTCAGAGAGCAGTGGTGTTAGTTAGAGTACGTACTGTACAAAACTGCAATTATTATATAAGCATCCAAGAACTTCTTTTTAAAACTTAGATGAGTATCTGAGAAAATCCAAGCATTTGATACCATGAGGAAGTGCTGTGGTTTACAATCACTGTATTTCAATTATAGGAAAAGAATTTGAAGTTTTCTTCTTTAAGTGACCTAATTCTTTTTAGTCTGAGGGGACCTGTATCTATGTTATACATCCTGGGGTTGATTCTTCTTTCATTATTACAGGTGAAATGGACACTATCCCAGAAATTTGTCTCATCTGTGTATTCTGCAACAAAGGGATGGCACTCTCAGAAGCCTCACAAGGCCACCCTGCAGAGAAGCAGCTCTTCCAGGAGCATATATAACTTGACTAAGAAATGTTCAAAATAAAATAAGGATTCATCTCTTCTGCTTCAAGGATCACAGTATTTCAGCTTTCTGTTTCAGCAGAGAATAGAACACACATCAGCATGCAATAACTAAGGTATAAAAGTCAAACCAAACTGTAAAACAGAGTGAGGAAAATGCTAATTCCCATTTTGCCTAAACATTTTCAGCAGTGTCATGGAATTTACTGTGTGCTAACCATCTCTTCCAAGCACTAACAATCTTAGCTAGAAGGTGGCACAGACTTTATGCCAGGGAAGTACAAGATCTACCTCCAGCAAAATCCATTGTACTTCATTATACCGGTTGCCATTCATTAAG